GCACCTTCGCTTTTTTTCATCACTACAGCTGAAACCATTTGTTGATTTTACCCCATTACCTGTTTGAAAATCAAACAATATTCTAAAATCTATTTTCTTTCAACAGCATTTTCCTCATGCATGGCCAGCTTGATTGGCCTGGCTATAATATCTAGCAATGATTCCTGGATCACAAGACTGGTTAAACAGAACTACCAATCCTTTGGTAAAACAGTTGCCATACACATATTTCAGCTGTGTATTTATCTGTTTGTCTGGAGCGGAGGTCTTCAAACTGTGGCCCGGGGGGGGGGGGGGGCTGGCATCCTTCTGAATGATACAAGGCACTATTGCTCCCACTGACACCACCAGTGGTGCACTATTTCTGCCCCTGATACCAATGATAGGGCACTATTCCTTCCAATAATAGGAGGCACTATTCCTTCCACTGGTACCAACAATGGTGCACTATTTTTTCAACTGATACCAATGAAGGGTTATTATTCCTTCCACTAATACCAATGATGGGGCAATACTCTTCCTTTTACTGACTACCAACCCTGAGGCCATGTTTATTCTCACTGATGCATTTTCTACCCCTACTGACCACAATCTGGCCCTCCTAAAGGTTGAGATACAGTAAACCCTTTGAATGTTTGGAGACTCCTGGTCTAGAGATCCATTTAAAAGCTAAAACCTAGTACTCACGATGAGAAAATCGAATGAAAATTCAGTTTTTGAAGCAATCATCTGATTAGTAGTACAGATCTTTCAAAAGCCGATCACAACAGTTCATGCTAAATTATCCAAAGGGACAAGCACCTAAATTGTTCTTGATGATAACAGAAAGAACAAACAATTTTCGTTTAATCAGTACAGTATTCGTCCGAAAAAATGGAGTGACCAAGACCACGCATGCTCAGAAATGGAAAAATACATCACAAAACAATACAATACATTACATCAATATGGCAATTAAAGGTTAATTTCTCACATCTGTGACTTTTTAAATTGCAATTAGTGTCTGTGTATAAATAGTCAATGAATTTATTAGCTTTCACGTGGATGCACTGAGCAGGCTAGATACTGAGCTATGGGGAGCAGAAAATAACTGTCATAAGACCTGTGTAACAACATTATGGAACTTAAAGATGGAAACGGATATAAAAAGATGTTCAAAGCCTTGACAATGCCAATCAGTACTGTTCAATCACTTATTAAGAAATGGAAAGTTTGAAGATCTCTTGATACCAGGTAGACCAAGAAAAGATTGCAGCCACAACTGTCAGAAGAATTGTCTGGGATACAAAGAAAAACACACAGGTAAGCTCAGGAGAAATACAGGTTGCTCTGAAAAAAGACAATGTGGTTATTTTGAAGGAGCACAATACGACGATACTTAAACAAAAATAAGCTGCATGGTTGAGTTGACAGAAAAAAGCCCCTACTGCACTAGTACCACAAAAAAAGCCAGGTGAGGGGTGCTATTGGGCATATTGTAACTGGGCTTTTTTTTACACCCATATTTAGGATGTAACATGTTACTAAGCACCAGTCCTTGCACTCCCTGATCCCTGATCTGCCCCCCTTCCCCTGACAGTGAGTGGCGACTCCTCTCCCCCCACCCGCTGTCACAATTTAAAAACACACAGCCCATACAGCCACATCACTCATTCACATGAATCTGTGAATGACTGAACTACAATTCCTGTCTTCCACCGCGGCAACTTGCTTGTAGTTCTGCAAACTGTGAGGGCGCTAGTGAGCACTGAAGTATTTATTTGACACTTCGTACACCTTTCAAGTAGCCTGTACAGAGGTACGGGTAGAAAGCTGTAGGCAGTATCTGCAGAAGCCTATCATTGCACCTGCGATCTTCTGACCATGGGTACAATGTTCTGCAGGCCCCTGAGGAAAAAAATTATAAATGTAAATTTTTTTGTACTTGTAAAAACATGTGCATTTATTATACATATATATTTTTAAGATGAACTTATCCCTTAAGGCAGAATTTTAGTTTTTCCCAGTTGGATATAATCAAAATCTATGAAAGATCGAGATCTGTCCATTGCCTGGGAGTAAAGCTGGTCAGTTAGCATGCCTCAATCACTACTGGAGGACTTTTCCTTTCCATAAATGATTTTCATTAATTTATATTATGTCTTTGGACTTGATAGAAAAATTGGCTCGTCAATTCCCCAGCTCAGCCCCTCCCTTCTTGCACATCATAGCCCTTTCCTCTTCTGGGGGTGTAATTATTGTCTGTGCTGGCCCAGCGCCTCCTCCCCTTTCCCCATCTTCCTTCATAATCTTTCATGTAACTGCGAAGGGCAAGTGAAGGGGATTACTAAAGTGACAGTTCAGTTTTGAGTCTGCTGAGGCTGCTGACTACACATCCAAGATGGCTATATTTGGCGGCAGTCTCAAGGCTTTTGGATGTGAACACAAGGGAGGTGTTTACAGGTAAATAACATGCCTATAACACATTAAATGCTTATATACTCTTATAGGTATGATTTTTGTTGAAATTAAAGGTCTGGAAAAAATTATCCCTGTAAAGAAGAAGTATGACTTAATTTTTGAAATCATTATTAAGTTCCCCAGTTTCAATCTTTCCTGAGGTTCCTGAGCAGTGTGGTTGGACAGCTCGCCATATTTGGTCAATGACCTCACCAAGTGACCCCGCCCCCTTGTTTACTCTAGCAGCGGGACCTGGAGATGTCATTCAGCACAAGGAAAGTGGTGGGATTGGATGTATCTTAAGGTTCATTGGGTTTTATTCTTTCAGTGCGTCAGTGGCCATCATTGAAGTGGACCAGCATTGCTGGACAATGTGATTGACAATGGATGTACATCAAAGGACATATCTGATTTTTTTTTTTTGTCAAAAGAATTGTCAAATGTTTGGGTGGGTTTATTTCTAGTGTACCTTCTTTGTGAATGAGTACGGGTAATATGTAGTTCTTTCCCCTTTTCTGGTAGCAAAAATGACACACTTTGGCCTAAAGTTTCTGAACCTAGCCCTCTGCTGATCACATGCACCTTCCCAAAGAAAAACAAAACTCTCTAGCAATACACACTAAACTGAGAATGTGCAGAGTGACTCTCAGAGCTCTGTACTATCGGCAGGTGAATTGGGGACAGTAGAAAAGGGGAGCTTCAGAGATGACAAGATCAAACAGCCTTCATACGCAATGCAGAGGATTAACCCCTTAGGTTCCACAGTGAGTAAACAAGCATGCTTTATTGCATATACAAACTTATTTTACTGTTGTGAGTTTAGGAACTGTGACGAATGCGGTGGCCGACCCCTGCCCTTCTCACAATTCGTGACAACGGACCAGACAATCTCACACCTCGCTGTCACTCAGCCGCAGCCTGAGAGTGATTGTCACTTAGTTAAGTTAAGTAAGTAGTTAATTTAAACTACCTCCACCACCTTTTGACTGACAAGGCAGAATCTCATAATCTTATTAATAACAACTATGATTTTAGAATAACCATCTGCAACACACACTGTCACCACAAACAGGTATGTTCAGAGATTTGTAATACAGTAGCTCTCTTCAAGAGTATTTTTCAGATGGCTCTATCACCCAGGAAGTGGGAGACTGCTTCTTCCCCTTTCGTATGTGCTAGCTTAGTCATATGACCTTGATTTGTTCAGTATGATTTTCCCCATTCTAATACTGTATATGCTTAATATTAATGTGTCTTGGTTACAGTATGTTGTATTTTATGAATTGTGTGTGGATTTTGTTAAGTTGTTAAGTTGTGAATTGGGCAGAGGTCTCAGAGGGGTCATCCACGCTTGGCTTCCTTCTGTGTAGGCGTTTTATGGCACGCTACATGTTCCTAGTGTTTTAATTACCCTACAGTTCATGCTTGACAGAAAGGAATGGATTTTGTCATTGTTTTTAGACTGGTCAGAGGGAGGTGTTAATCTGTAGAGTGTTTTATGGTCCGTAGAAATAGATTTCCGCCAGGCCTTATTTAGCGGTTTACTGCTCTGACAAAGGCCTGTGTGCTGGTGTCTGCTGTCCCTAAGATGAGATAACAGGCTCTTTTGAAGTGTGTTAAAAGTTAAAGCTATGAATTCCATAGTTTTCTGGAGGAGGGACGGGATAAGATCACTGAGCTCATTAAAAACAAAATGGCTGAGACATTAACAAGATGGCCTACAGCTTCCATGTGCCTAATGCACACTTTGAAGTTAAAATTCAAAATCATATCAGTTAAAATGTTCTTCACATATAGGTTACTACCTACTGGCTGACCATATTAATGGTCACAATAAGAGAAGCACCTATAGAAGATAGTAAGGTATATATGAAATTAGGCAAATATCTAAAGAAATTATATCAGCAGAGGTGTTCCTTTATCATTATGTTTCCAATTCTTAGCTGAACAGGAGAAATTACACTTTCAGCCTTGTGTGCCTGTTGGTTTATGCCATCAGTCAGGTGTTTGTAATTAACGGTTTTCTGAATATGTGCCAGACAGCTACTTGTCTCATGGCATTCATTTAAACTGAGGCTTAATACTCTCTGTCACCTTTATATGTCAAGGTGAAATGTACAATAGATTCTGCTGAGTCTCTTTCTGCAGAGTGAATGGTTCAGAACAAAGCAAATTACACATTTCCCACACTTAAAGTGGTTCTAAAGTCTAGACATTTTTTACCCTAACGCACTCCCTGCATTAAGGGCTCGTTCACAAAGGAAGCCCACAGCCCATGCGCGGTTCACAAACCACTTTTAAAATGCATTGACCTTTGGATTTGCAGTGGCTGTCAGTTCAATGCTAATGACACCCCAAACACAGGTCACAAACACAGCTTGCCTGCACCAGATGGTATGGTACAGAAATACCATACGATCTGGTTGCATTGCGTTTCTTAACCACCTCCCGACCGCCATATAAGGTGGTTCTCTCGTTCTGGGAGAATGTCATATGACGTCCTCCCACTCTAACGGCGCATGCGCGGCTCCGGGAGCACACAGCGTGGCGATCGGTGGTGCTCTGTGTCCCTTGGACACAGCGGATCACCGATGAACGGAAAGAGCCGAAGATGTCGGCTCGGTCATGCGATCAGCTGTGTCCAATCACAGCCGATCACATGTAAATAGGGAAATGCCGGTAATCGGCATTCCTCGGAGGGGACATCTACACTGATCATCAGGGCACTGATGATCAATGTGCCCTGATGATTGGTGTAGCCCCAGCAGTGCCACCTGTCAGTGTCCATCAATGCCAGCTGTCATTGCCCATCAATGCCACCTGCCAGTGCCCATCAGTGCCTCATCAATCCCACATATCAGTGCCTACCAGTGCACATCAATGCCACATATCAGTGCCCATCTGAGCTGCCTTTCAGTGTCACCTATCAGTGCCAGTCAGTGCCACATATCAGTGCTGCCAGTCAGTGCCACCTATCAGTGCCAGTCAGTGCCACCTATCAGTGCCTGTCAGTGCTGCCTATCAGTGCCAGTCAGTGCCGCCTAACAGTGACAGTCAGTGCCATCTAACAGTGCCAGTCAGTGCCGCCTATCAGTGCCAGTCAGTGCCGCCTATCAGTGCCATCTATCAGTGCCATATATGAGTGCTGCCCTTCAGTGCCCATCAGTGATGCCTGTTAATGCCCATCATTGCCACCTACTAGTGCCTCATCAGTGCCACCTATCAGTGCCCATCAGTGCAGCCTATCAGTGCCCATCACTGCAGCCTCATTAGCACACATCAGTGAAGGAGAAAAATCACTTATTTACAAAATTTTATAACAAAAACTAAGAAAAAATCTTTTTTTCAACATTTTCAGTTGTTTTTGGTTTCTTTAGCAAAAAATAAAAAATCCCAGAGATGATTAAATACCACCAAAAGAAAGCTCTATCTGTCTCAAAAAAATGATAAAAATTTCAAATGGGTACAGTGTTGCATTGCCACGCAATTGTCATTCAAAATGCGACAGCGCTGAAAGCTGAAAACTGGCCTGGGCAGGAAGGGGGTATAAGTGCACTGTAGGCAAGTGGTTAAAGTAGTACATGCACTACTTTTGATGCAGTGCATTGCATTTTCACCCCAATCAGATGAATGGGTTGAAAATGCACTGCACTCATATCACACAGGAATTGCACAGATTGCGTTCCTATGCAATTCCTGGTGTGAACCCACCCTAAGGTAAAATATGTCCCACTAATTGTTTCTCCCCCACTACTTCCCTTTATACTTACCTGAGTCTTATCTTGATCCACTGCTGTGTCCATCTTCAGAGGCACTGTTCTCAATCTCTCTCTGTCACGCTCAAAGACAGCAGCAGGAGCCATAGTCAGTCAAATCCTGAGGGTAGGGAGCAGGGGGGGTTGGGCCAAGCTGTGCTGTGTGTGTCAATGAATGCACAAAACCCCACTAGGGATCGAGCCTGCAGGTGTGTGTCTTCCTATGGTGGCCAAAGAGAAGAGAAGGAGCCAAGAACAGTGGCAGGGGACCCCATGAGAATTGGTTCCGGGTTGCTCTGTGCAATACTACTGCACAAAGCATGTAAGTATAACATGTTTAATATTTTAAAATAAAAAAAAACCCTGTACAATCACTTTAATGCATGATATATTTAATGTAACCCACCAAGCAGACTCATATGATGCAGTGCAACCACAGGGTCAGTCCACTGTGTGCTAAGAAGAACCTCCCTAACTTCCTGGATTGCAGACATTTAAATGAAGTACCCCAATCCCCCCATTTTTTTTATCTGTGAACGTTGATGATTATAGAAGTTCATGTCTGTGAGCAGGGCCAGGACAAGGGGTGGGTGGGAGGCCCCTGGGCACAATGGCTTACTCTAGGGATGGACGTGCCTTCCATCTGTTACAAGGCTGACAGGAGGGTGCAGTTTGGCATCTTTGCCCTGGGCACTGAATGACTTTATCCCGGCACGGTCTGTGAGTGAACAGGTTGGTACATTGGCTTTTGGTGCTAGGATTTCGATTTTTTACTTCCCAAGGTCAAAACAACTTCTTTCCATAAAGCACTGGATAACATCTATGTCTAACTCTTAAAACATGACTTTACCACTTAACTCCCACTCCTCAAGGCATAGCACCTAAAGTGTAAATAAAGGAAACCTTTGAGTTTTGACTAGAATGGAGAAGGATTAGAACACTTGTCAGTGTATAGCAGTCTGTGCTCTCTTTGGGAGATTCACTCTCTTTGTCTTGTTGACCGTTATCATCAAAATAGGCGAAACTAGTTCTGGTGACCATGGTGACAACCAGAGATTCCATCACTTTAGGGAGATTTCCTCTCACTTCCTGCTTTGGCTATGGATCAGGAAGTAAAGGGAAATCTCCTCAATGGAACACAGATGGCAAAAATAAAAAGTGACAGGAGTTATAACCCTCCCTTAATCTATCCAAAATGAAAAAATGAAGTTTTGCCTTTAGTTTTACTTTAGCCCAGCCTTAGAAAGGACCCTGTAACCACAGTGTCACGTGTATACAAGAGGAACCCTGTAAAAGTGGAGGCAATATATCACCTTTTTTGGTGGCCCATGTGTTGAAATGTTTCTTTTCCCTTCCAGTATTCACCCCTCTAGGTGGGTTACATATCTGCTAGACCCCCCCTCCCCCACACCCCCATTCCACGGTAGTTGCTCCCGCTGGCTCAAATCCTATACTGATGTATGAGCCCGCGAGAGGTACCACTGCGTTTGGCAGGGTAGCAGCTACCCTACAGATCCTAGTTGAATACCTGCAGTGGCTGGGGAGAAGTAAAGAGGCTATGTTTCAACAAAATATGAAAACAGTATATTGTATGTTCTTTTATATTGTTCGCATTGTGTACATGTTACCCTGTGGTGACATTTAACATTCATCCTTAATATGACCCTGAAATGAAGCCCTTAACTTCCCTATGCTTACCTATCACCTTAAGGTGACTCATTACTTTGATTATGAGGACAATACTCCCTCCTCAATGGCCTACCTCATCGCAGGCTATCCCCTCTTCAGTCTATCATGAATGCTGCTGCCAGACTCATTCACCTTACTAACCGTTCCATAATCTGCCATCCCTCTCTGTCAATCCTTCCACTGGCTTCCCATTGCCCAACGAATAGAATTCAAAACATTAACAATAAGATATAAAACCATTTATAACTCTGCCCCAAATTACATCATCAATCTTGTCTCCAAATATCACCCAAACCGTTCTCTCCACTCCTCCCACGACCTCCTGCTCTCTAGCTCCCTTGTCTCCTCCTCCCATGCTCATCTCCAGGACTTCTCCAGAGCTTCCCCCATCCTCTGGAACTCTCTACCCCAATCTATCAGACTATCGCCTACTCTGCCCACTTTTAGGCGATCTCTGAATACCTATCTCTTCAGGGAATCCTATCCTGCCTTCAGCTAATAATGGAATCTTCTATTCCTCCTACCAGTCCATCCCCCACTGTTATTACCTTTTGTATCACCAGCCCCTTCCTCTTAGATTGTAAACTCCAAGGAGCAGGGCCCTCCTAACCCTCTTGTATTGAATTGTATTGTTGCTGTATTGTCTCCTCTGGCTCTATATAAATCCTGTATTATAATAATAATAATAATAATAATACTAGTTCCTATAATACTACTGCAATGAAAATTTGATCATAAATGCAGTTCATTCCTACTGTTTGGGGACCTATCGCCCTTGTACATTGTTTTATACTAGCATGTGATTTATTACTTTTTCTTATATGGTTGAATATAGACTTGCATGTTGTAAGACTATGCCAGCCTTTTATTCATCTTGGGATCTGCTGAATATACTGTATACTGTGAACTACGGTTTGTTATGTATCACTGTGAAACACATACTTGTCCAATATCTCTGCATTGTTCAATATGCTTAATAAAATTGTATTGAAATAGAATTTTTTTTCATAAATATACTGTATACTGCAATGTTAACATGTCGTGCTCTAACTGACCAGCCCTAAAAAACCTGAACTTAAATCACATCATTGATTGCAGCCAATTGTCACTCTGGAGTTCTCCTTTAAAATATGCAAAGCACACCATTAAAATGGGAAATACCTGATGAGAAATGACAATATTGATCCAAGTTACTGTCATCCATTTACATCCCAATGACACAATCAATACCCCCGGTACTTAGAGAATAAAAGAAAAGAACCTCATCTTGCCAGTAGTTTTATGTTTTACGACTCAGACAAGGAAGAACGCATTTAAGAAGCAGAAAAGACTTTATCATCAGATATGATGATATCATTTATTTCTCCTAACGTAAATCAGAGCACCAAGAAATCCTGTTTTGGGTGAATTTGTCACATGCTAGTTGACTTGACAGTTTGTCCTGAGAAATGTACAAATAGACAAAAAAACCGACAGATAATCTCAAGCATTATATTGATTTATGCACCATTTGCAAGGTGTGGAAAACAAGTGCCTCAGGTTGCTACAGCACTGTGCAATGTAGGATCCACTTATACTGTCCTAGTAGATAGTAGGTCTAAAACTTATGGTGCCCATACACTAGATGAAAAGTTGTTTGAAAATCTATCATTTAGACAGTTTGTTCGCTTTTGTGTCCAGTTAATGTGCACAAATAGAAATCTGGCTGTGACATTTGAGTAAAAAAAAAACTAAGGAAAAGTTTGGAAAACTTCTGTCAAATGGATGATAAATTGAAAGGTTAACGTGTTTCTCACCTGTTAAAAATCAGACTGTTCGTACTGCGCATATGTGAGAAAATGGATGAAAAACTGATTCATTTATGTCCATTAAATGATTTATGGTCCAAAAATTGGTTTATATCGTTTGCTCTTATGACCGTGTGTTCGTTTTTCGAAAACATGTTTGAACGATTAGTTCAGCATTACTCTACCCCATTTTCCACCAAGATGCCTATTCAAGGATGATATTGCATTCTTTCTGTCAAGATCCTGTGGAATACAAAGCAATCTAAATCTCATGAGAAGATGCTCTTGCAACTGATAGTGGTGCATGTTTATAAGAGTGGCCTTCTTTGTGTAGCGCCCTCTAAGTAGATAGGATTTTTGTGGTTCGTCAGAGGCTTGTTTGAAGCCTGGGATGAGTCAGCCTGGAAGTGAGGCAGTGAGGGTTATCTCTCAGGCTGGGGGGCTCTACAGGTCAGAGCTTCTGGAGCACTCCCACCCTTCTAGAAACTGCTGGAATTTTCTGAAAGAGGGGTGGAGGAGGCCTGGATTTGCATGTTTAGGGGAACATGGCCAATCTCCAGGCAGGAGGCCTGGCATGGTGACTAGGACAGCCCATAAATGTGAGAGAGCCTAAACAGCAGGGTTGTTGGAGTCGGGTGGAAGATGGATTGAAGGAAGGAGCTTGGAAGCGGGCTCCAGGGAGGGGGGCCTACCTACAGGCTGGAGCAGACATAAGGATCCCCACTGCCCTACAGTCTCCTAGTGAGGACAGCCAGTCAGCAGGGAAGGAGTGAGCCCAAAGTAAGGCCTGAAAGCAGCTGTAAAACAATAAGCTACAGAACAGGACAGTCTGAGTAGTTCTACACCTCTTGAGCCACAGAAGGGATAGGGCGGTCAGGTGCAATCCCCAACTAGTTCTCTTGTGGATCTACTCTGCAGTAGATCTTGGAAACCCTTGCCCAGGGATATCCTCAGGACAGCCAAGTGGATGAGGAGAGTTCGGCAGCACTGTGGCTAAATGGTTATCCCTTCCACCTGGCAGCACCAGGATCATTAGTTTGAATCCCAACCACGGCACCACCTGCCTGAAGTTTGCATGTTCTCCCTGTG